GAAAGTCATTTGCATATATTCGCGACTAACTTTTCCTTGAAACAGCAATAATAATTTTTTATCGCATTAGGAAGTAACATTTCTCCGATTTACCAAGTTCTGCAAAAAAACGACAAATATTTTAATCACTATAATCAAATCCACTTGTATAAATGTTTGATTTTCGATAGCCGATAGCAATTTCACAACTCCAATAAGAAACAGCTCGACCACGAGACGCTTCTATGATTAACGTCTGCAGATCTTTTTGCGGTTTCAAGCCTCTTAAACCCTAAACCGAGGCTTGTATTTTTATTTCTCTTTTTCCCTCCTCATCTGTTTTCCTATCCAGCCTTTATATCTTTTGTATTACGTATTATCTCGAAACCACGATAAGAACGGAAAGGAGCAGCAAAAAATAGATTTAATATTCCTTTTCTTCCTTAACGGTCGACGCAATTTCTTCGACCATTCGATCCTCCCATATTCCACGCTTCTATAATTCTCGCGTAGAAATTACAGAAAAAAGAAAAATTTGCTTTGCTATCGTTATGTGCAATCTCGAAGCATGCGGCTTAAACATTATAACCTTCGACTCGTTTGAACTCGTATAACTCCTTCATTGAAATAGAAAATCGCGTTAAATGATTTTAAGTGGATCTAATATCTCGTACGAGGTAAATTTTCCAAGAACCACGGCAGTTACAAAAGAATTGTCGAGATCTGCATTCTCGTTAAAAACGATATCAATTCAATTTCCACGATGTATTTTAGTATCATTCCAGTATCGCAGCTATCACATTCCTATATCTTCAATTTTCAAAAGATTGAATCATCTTTCGAACTTCGTAATGATCAAAATTGAATGTATTCAGACCTAATCCAATCCGCTTATTATAAATCCTCCTCTATTATATAAATCCTCGAGATAATCCTCATTCTTCCATTCCAGACGAAAATCATTATTTCAGATTCGCTCACGACACGAGTCTAATTGCCTCCCCTCCCCCCTTTCTGTCTAAACATTTGCACCGTGTCTGTTTCAATATTGGCACAAACGTACGAGGCAGAGTAGTACGTACCACGAATGTACCGCATGAAGATGAAAAAATACGCGTGTGTACACGGCGACGCTCCAATTCCTCGGCACGCGGTTCGCACGAATCAATCTTCTCACGAGCGTGGCTCGATCGTGAGAAAGGCGGATGTCCATTCAGAATTCAGTACAAAACGAGAAGAATCCCGTCTCTCCCTTTTTCTCTCTCCGTGTCGCTTTCCTTTCTATCCTTGTCTTTGTCTGGGTTTCCCGCGATGATCCCCGATCTTCGTCGACGCCGACCGAACGGAAACGTGAAAGTAACGTGGACCATGATGCGTGGCTCGTGGCGGTCGCGTATTTTTCTCCAACGCGTGAAATCGATACGCGGGAATCCATCTCTCTCGTGTGACACATCGATATGGGAAAGGGATCAGGCCTACTGAACCGATACCCGTGAATCCTGCGATTAATTACAGTCGATCGGCCGAGAGTGAGAACGTTTAACGTGTTGCGACCGTTTCTTTTCTTTGGGAGAGATTACGTGTGAATTTCGTGTAATTAGAGTTGTACTATCTTGTTGGAGTTGAACGAATTAATTTCAGTGTCGAATTACTTTCGATGAATATAATGTTACAATATCCGTTACGAATGATGGGTTAGAAGAAGAGGATCACTGGATAAACAATTAATTAAGTTCAAGGCACGAGTTACCTCATCCTTCTCGATTAACAGTTTAATAGATTAATCGTGGGATACGTGGACGAAATAAATTTTTTAACCAATACGAGCCTTATCTATACATTGCCTAATCCATACCGATTCGTTCTTTTTTTTTTTTTTACGACCTAATTTGAACACGAAGAGTACCTCCCAGTTTTGATCATTTTAAATATCTATATAAGATAGATTTTCACCTTGGGTCGAATAACTAGAAGTAACAGTATCCGTGGCATTGGTACGTCTACCATCCACTGAACGCTCCAGATCGACTCGTTTATCGTTCGAGTTTCTTGCACAAAGTCCTCGTTCATTCTCCAACATCTGGCCGAAGATGTATTTCCCGAACGAGTGTCTCGAAGCTATCTCTCTTGCCAACAATGGGGCAATTTTCAACCACGAGATAGACACTATTGTGAACCTGTATCTTCGATCACGTATATAGCATATCGAATATTCGGATTTACACACACATATATATATATATATATATATATATATATATATATA